TTTTTGTATTTTTTTTTTTTTTTTTTTGTGGGGGCTGTTGCTAAACAGATAATCGTAGAATGGTTTGGGTTGGAAGGGACCTTTAAAGGCCATCTAGTCCAACCCCCCTGCAGCAAGCAGGGACATCTTCAACTAGATCAGGTTGCTCAAAGCCCCGTCCAACCTGACCTTGAATGTTTCCAGGGATGGGGCATCTACCACCTCTCTGGGCAACCTGTGCCAGTGGTTCACCACCCTCATTGTAAAAAAATTCTGCCTTATATCTAGTCTGAAACTACCCTCTTTTCATTTAAAACAATTACCCCTTGTCCTATCACTACAGATGCTGCTAAAAAGTCTGTCCCTATCTTTCTCATAGGCCCCCTTTAAGTACTGAAAGGCTGCAATAAGGTCTCCCCAGAGCCTTCTCTTCTCCAGGCTGAACAACCCCAACTCTCTCAGCCTGTCCTCATAGGAGAGGTGTTCCATCTCTCTGATCATTTTGTGGCCCTCCTCTGGACCCACTCCAACGTTTTACTTGCATGTAAAAGAAAAGTGAATATGTATTTATTTTTTATTTATATGTGTGTATTTCATATTTAAGTACATATGTATATATACACATGTAGAGTACATATATATGTTAATAACATTTTTTGCTCTTAAATAATTGCATTAAACTATGGGAAAATATTCTAATTCTTCGTGAAATAATTGCAAAAGAGAAAAAGGAATTGGAGTGAGTTTTGTCATGTTGGAATTTTATAATATTAACTTCTAACTTTAATAGGGATTTCTAAGTCCCAGTTTCTGCATTTTTTTACTTAGAAACACTTTATTCTTTGCTTTCAGAGTTTGTTACAATTCAGTGCAGAATTTAGTCTTCAAGAAAAAAAATAAATCTGTGTTTACTCTGGTAGAAAGTTGCTGCAATCTTCCTATGTGCTGACTGTTAAAATAAAGTTAAATGGTCAATTTCATTTTCTGATATAAATTTCTGCTGGTATGTGAAGCTCTTAATTTACAAATTGCTGCATTACACATAGAATATGTCATATTTACTCTGAATCAAACTACAGCTGTTGAATACTAACAACAATTCTTTTTGGTTTTTGATGTTTCAGAAAAGGGTTTCTGTATGAGAGGAGACATGTGCCCTTTTGATCATGGAAGTGATCCGGTAGTGGTAGAAGATGTGAATCTTCCTGGCATTCTGCCTTTTCCAGCACAACCCCCTGTTGTCGAAGGACCACCTCCTCCTGGACTTCCTCCCCCTCCACCAATTCTGAGTCCTCCTCCTGTTAATCTTAGACCTCCAGTACCACCACCAGGCCCTTTACCACCTAGCCTTCCACCTGTAACAGGTAATTAAAAAAAGGTTAAAACCCATTTTTGAGTAGAAGAGCCTGGATGTTACTTGGGTTGTGTGCCGTACAAAAAGCTGTTTTAAGAACGCCAACTATATTTAGAAAGTTGTACTATACTTTGCTATGGCAGAGCTTACCCCCAAATTATTGTTTTTTAATGGTAATTGTTGCAAAGTTGATTGTTGTAAAATTTGCATGTTAAATGTGAATCTTGAATATGGAATAATATTTTAATTGTGTTTAAGCAAAAGCATGGTGTGGCAAAACTCAGTTCCTTGAGTTTTATAGGAGTTGTCTGAAATTGACTACTGTTAGCGAAGAACGGAAAACCCTGGAAACAGCTGATATTTGGCATTTCATTTGTAATAATAAAATTAAGAGAATTCATGACCACATCAAATTTACACCTGAAAATGTCATTTGCGATTAATTTTGAAACTAAACTTTCAAAGTAACTAAGAAAAATTTTTCAGCTTGTTTACTCTTTCATTGGAAAGTTCTTTGACTCAAGCACTAAAAATTACATGGAGACTTGTGTGCTTGGCTCTCATTTATAAAATAGCAGTTTAGTATTCAGTTCCCTTGCGTTGTTCAAAAACTGTTATGTTAGTTTTATGTGATTCTCTCTTTTTTATTAACTTATATGTCCCACGGTTAAATTATTCAAGAATAATATTTGTTATTGCTTGGAAGTTTCTTGACCTGTTTTCATTTCCAGTTGATAGTATATTTAAGTAAGATCTTGCATGTATTTATTTCACTTAGTATAGAGAGCAACTGTATTGCTGGGGTGATCAGTTCTGCCTCACATGCTATTCCTGCATCTGTGTGGAAAGTCCAAATATGTGACTTTGTATCTTTTTCTAAAACCTGGTTTTGCCAACAATTAAATTGAATGTCAGGCTTGACTGCTCAGCTTTGAAAGTGTCACCTTACCTGTGGGGAAAAAAAAAGTCGAACTAACCAACCAACCAAAAAAACCCCCTCACTTTTAAGAAGGATCTGTTTGAGGTTTTCATCAGAGTTGTAGGTTTCTTCTTGGGTGTTTGGAAAAATAATTTCTGTCAAGTTAGTTATTGTCATCATAGAATATTTTTGTTCTACACTATTAAAAAATAGAATTTTTTTCTTTGGGGGGCGTTTATAGAGCTTTAAAGATCTTCTGTTGGTGAAGATAAATACTGTGTTAGCAATTAAATTTTGCTTATAGAAAGAAGGTGTTCAGAGAAATGTTGAACTATTGAAATGCTTTTCACTGTAGTCTAAGTTCTAAGTCACTCGCTGATGGGGATGGTTTCATATGAATGAATGCTACAGCATCATGTCTGTATATATGCCCTCTTACCCCCTTTATTTTAAATAGCCTCAAAAACATGTCAGATCAATTTCCTTATGAGTTGGGTGTAGTGTAAGTCTAGAGGATAATAAATGAATGCAGTGTTTTCCTTTGTTGTTGACAGGACCACCCCCTCCACTTCCCCCATTGCAGCCTGCTGGCATGGATGCTCCCCCAAACTCAGCAACTAGCTCAGTTCCTACTGTTGTTACAACGGGTATTCATCACCAGCCGCCTCCTGCTCCACCCTCTCTTTTTACAGCAGGTGTAGTACTGAGGCTTTGCCCACAAGGTTTGCTAAATAGAATAACATTGATTCATATTATACTGTACTTTTTAGAGATTATAATTTCATAGTGCGGGAGAATAAGTTTGTATCATTTAGATAGCAACACTAGTTTAACACTTTTTTCTAACTTGGTTCAGGACAGAAGTAAAATATGCATGTAAATGTGAATCTTGACTATGGAATAATATTTTCATTGTGTTTAAGCAGAAGAAAACTTGTCATGGCAGTTTTTTAGGATAGTTGTATAACAACTCTTCCATTGTAACTGTATCTTGTAATTAAATGAAATACTGTATTTGAAACCTTAAGGGTTTTAACTGCAATTTATTTTAATGAGACAATTTCTTTGTTACCAGAAACGTATGACACAGATGGCTATAATCCAGAAGCTCCAAGTATAACAAATACTTCAAGACCTATGTATAGACATAGAGTACACGCCCAAAGACCAAATTTGATAGGACTCACATCAGGTGATATGGATCTACCACCCAGAGGTAAGCTTTCAAAGCTACACTTACTTAGTTTAGCTCGTTTTCTTACATTAATGCAGATTGAGGCAGTTTTCAGAGAATGTAATACTGGGAAACATTGCATTTTTTAAAATCTTCTGGAATTAAGAGAAGTTTTATTGAATAGGGAATTATGTTTGTAGCTTCTTTGTGTGTGCGTTTTGACAGGTAAAATGAAATTTCTTGCTAGGGTACTGCACATTTTACACTTGGCTGTAATAACTGATCACATTTGTACGTCTTCTATACAGAAAAACGTTACTGTTTCTGTAACAGAATCTTAGGATGATTTTTGCTGTGGAGAGGAGGGAGTCATTTTTATCTGGTAGCAGACAGTTATGCATGAGTAATCTTAACCTCTTAGTTCCTGTGGCCCTGAGAAGAAGCAGCAGCATACAAAATGAGAAGGGAAGAAGGATAAACCCAATTTTTTTAATGTGGTTTTGTTTACATTTGTATGTATTTGTATTTAATCTTGCTATGTTTCTGTTGGTGTATTTTCAGTGAGGAGTCCCCCAGTATGATTCCTGTTCTTCAGCAAGAGCCACTCCTCTCCCACCCATCCCTAAATCTTGCTCCTAAGTGTTAGTGCTCTGGAGTACTGTACATTTCCTACCATGAGCATTTTTGTGTGTGTCATCTAATATAATGGAGGTGTTGGCAGAAATTGTGTGAGCCTCAGAGTATTGTATGGGATATTGTGAATCAGTGAGTGCAGCCATCTTGAGGCAGATGCCTTCTGTCACGCCTCTTTTGTTTTCCTTATGTGTGATGTTACTGTGACAAAATGAAAGCTATTAGCTATTTTGATCTGTCACAGCATCTTTTGATAGTTAAAAAGAAAAGTCCGTGACCAAGATTTGATTCAGTTTGAACAGGGACCGTAGTAATTTCAATATAAACAATTACGCTTTTCAGTGCAAATTCAATGTGAGCAGAATACCTTTTTACAGTCAAATACACAGAAAATACAAAAATATTGTAAAATCTTTTCATCTGTTTACAGAAAAACCTCCTAATAAAAGTAGTATGAGAATAGTGGTAGATGCTGAATCCAGGAAAAGAACAATTGGTGCAGGGGATGGTGGAGTTCCTACAAAGAAGACTTGGTTTGACAAGTGAGTGATCATTAACAAAAGGTTGGCTTAATAGTTGGAATTCCATGGAGCTCTTTTCTGTAATCTGAAACATATAAGTCTATATAAATTGCAAGCAAGTTAAACTGTGAATAAGCTGTCCGTACTAAAATAAATCACACTGGAGAGCAGTCTGTATTTGACTGTCTTCTCTCAAAGGCAGTATAGAGATAGCTGAAGTTGCTTTGGATGATACCAAGATCTACTCCGTGAAAGCTGGAATGATCTAAGAAATGGAGAAGCTGCAATGTGATGGTTGTTAGAGATGACTGATTTTTCGTTTTGAAATGTGAATTGTGTCACTGCTATTTTGGTTTGAGTTGCCAGGTATGTTACTGACAGGAAATATAGGATGCAGTGCTTAGCGCAGATGTACCTGGGGTGACAAAAGGTTGGAAGGGATTTTAAGAGATTACTGGAACTGAGACGAGCCTTGAAGTAATAGTTATTTAAAATGTTAGTGGGGAAATTCTGTGGAATAGCCGTGAAATGGTTTTTGGAGAGAAGCAATTTAGAAGTCAGGTCTTACTGACACAAGTGAATTATTATGAATTATCTTGCGGATTTATGCACTGGGGTATGTTGAGAGTATCAGTGGGGAAAACTGCAGGTGTATGGGCCTGTGTGCTGTCCTCTTCTACACTTTTCTAAAATTGCATTTTTTAAGTCTGCAGACCTTTATGTCTCGTACATGCTCCTATGTTAAGCATATACAATTTAACATTGTGTTTCCTAGCTTGCTATGGATTTCTGGCTTGATTTTTATTTGTTGCAGGCAAAATTTTAACAGAACAAATAGTCCAGGTTTCCAGAAGAAGGTGCAGTTTGGAAATGAAAATACAAAACTTGAATTGAGAAAAGTTCCCCCAGAACTTAACAATATCAGCAAACTTAATGAGCACTTCAGTAAGTTTGGAAACTTAGTCAACTTGCAGGTAAGAGGCAACAAAGAGAAGCCATTATGCTTTGACTTAATAATAGAGGTAGCTGCTAAGCGGAGAATGCCAGTTGTTTTTTAACTGATTCCCTGAAACTGTTCTCATTATTTTCCTAACTTGTTTCTTAAACATGAACTTATTATTTTTAATGGAATTGTCATTGAAGAAGCAGAAATGAAATGTTCTAGTCTTTTTTTAGATTTTTGAACAAATGTTTTCCTCACAGGTAAGACTTTTAAGATACATTGCTTGAAACATTGAAAATTGATTGGAAGTGTTTTTCCTTCACCCCTTTTCTCAAGTTCGGTTCTGATATAAACCCTCTGTATTTTTTGAGATAAATTGTGAATACAGAAAATGTGCATTTCTCATCCAGAAAGCAGCCCCTGTGATATAATTGGTTTCTAGTCCCACAGTAGTGGCAGTTTGTCCCTTATCATTACTTTGTTGTATATCTGAGTGACCCACATTTATAAACAGAAATAAGCAAATAACTAGAGAAAGATAGGAGGGATGCAAAGAACTAGGGCCTAACTTAGGTTGATGTTGCATATTGCAGGCTGTATGTGTAATGTTAGTATTTCATATCCAGTCTCTAAGCTACTCAGTCTTACCTTTCATCATGCTTCATTATCAACAGGTTTCAGGTGCTAGCTTGTGTTTTTATGTATGCTTTCTTGGTTGCACTGAGCTGTTGAATGAAGAGGTGTAATAGAATATTTTTGTGCATACTGTACAGTACAGAATAAACCTCCTGTGCCTGTCTGAACACTGAGGGAATTAAAATCTCTCTGAATTGATCTTAAATATTTCTTAAGCCTTTCCATAGTTTGCCTAAGAATACGGGTGTATTAGCAAGCAGTATGATTCAGTAAGGCAAGTAAAATTTTGTGTGGATGTGTATAGAGAGACAGACAGATACGCAGATAGATATTGCAAGCTACTCTTCTTCTTCCAAAAGGTATAATTTTGTCCTTTGAGGGTGTCTAAAATAGTATTTTAATGCTTAAAGGAAGGAAAATCAAAATGAACTTTGTCTAGCTCTGATACTAGATAGGACATCTATTGACTGGTCTCCGTATTTTTTTTTTGTAGCAAATTTTTTTACTTCAGTGATGCTTGCTCTTGTCTTTCAAACTACTACTTGTGTTTGCAATTAGATATACTATTTGACTGTTCAGGTATTTTACTTCAGTTTGCTTGGGGTTTTTTAACTGTTCTTAAAATTTATTAGCTTAATCTCAAGGTTGCTTCTTGACACCAGGTGTTTCAAACAGAATCATGAATGGGAAGTGTTTATCTAATGACCCATATTGGGTTTAAATTGTAAGCTTCTGAGCCTTGAAACTAATGATTTTGTGATAATCGAGACACAAATGAGAATCCTACATGCAGTTTTTGTTCTTCTGTTTTAAATCTTAGGTTGCATATCAAGGTGATCCAGAAGGTGCCCTTATTCAGTTTGCCACACATGAGGAAGCAAAGAAAGCTATATCAAGTACAGAAGCAGTATTAAATAATCGTTTTATTAAAGTTTATTGGCATCGAGAAGGCAGTGCACCACAAATCCAAACTACCACACAGAAGGTAGAGGATCTAAATCTATTCTATCTAGAATGTTATGTAAAACATAATCTTTTAAACTTTCTAAAAAAATGTTTATAGAAAGTAAACTAAGTACTTCTGAAATAATGAATGCTTCATGTAATTATTTTCTGAAAGTTACTCTTAATTGTAGATTCTTTGACCTCAGATAGAAGGTTCAGGAGTTGATTAGCAAGATAAAACTGAAGGTATTTAAAGAAAGCCCTGCTGTGACTTACAGAGAATTCCACTCTGTCATCTCATGTGAAGCAAGATTTGATGCTACTGTCTGCTGAATAACATCTATTTTGCTTTAACTAGTATAGGCTTTTTTTTTTTTCTTCTGGTGAGTGTAAGAAAGACAAGAGAGTTATATTTCTTTTCTTGGAAGATAATCTCAATTTTCTTTCAAAAGGAGCTGTTTTTTCCATTCTTTTCCTTTCTCCTTTCCTGTTGAGCATGCATACTGCTATAGAAAGTAGCAGTAGGATTTTTTACACAAAGGTAAATACAAATGTATACAGGTATATACAGATAACACACACACACACATATATATAAACACATGTAGAGAGAAAGGGCATGCAAGCAACAGTGTAAGAGGAGAGCTGCATTAGAGAGACTAATTTTGTGGGAATGGATATGGGACATTTTACATTTTTAAATGGAGAGGGAGGTGCTGATCTCCATGGTATCCAGTGATAGGATGCATAGGAATGGTTCAGAGCTGCACCAGCAGAGGCTCAGACTTGACTTTAGGAAGCATTTCTTTACAGAGAGGGTGGTCAGACACTGGAACAGGCTTTGTAGAGAGGTGGCCGATACCCCAAGCCTGTCAGTGTTTAAAGAGGCATTCGGATAATATACTTGATAACATGCTTTAACTTCTGGTTAGCCCTGAAGTGATCAGGCAGTTGGACTAGATGATCACTGTAGGTCCCTTCCAACTGAACTATTCTATTCTGTATTTTTTGATTGAATTGCACAGTGGAGTACCTGTTGGTAATTGTCATGTGCATAGTAGCATTAGCAACTTTTTAAGAATATGAAACAGCAGTTACTGTTGCGGAGCTTAGATGCGTAACCTGTGGCAAGCCAAATCAGACTTGTTAGTGGGTATAGTGGTTCTACTCAAACATAAGAGGAAGCTTGGATTCTCCCAGGTCGTGTAGGTTATTGGATAGAGTCTTGTCAGTTAGCTCCCAGTGTAGCAAGTTCTTCTGAATAACTTGTGTATCCTGCTTTATTGGATTTGCTGTCAGTGTGGAACAATACATTCTACACTTAGTAAATGTGAGGCAGGCTCTGTAGAAGAAATGTTCACTTATTTGTTCATTACATCAGCATATATATATAAATTGTTAGAGGATTCTTTCAATTATTGCTCTAAGTTTTTAATTCCTTCTTTCTCTGGATGGTGTATGTCATTATCATTCAGAATCAATGACCCAGTTTTCCATAGCAATTCTGCTGTAGGGTATTTTAACAGTTTCCTTTCTCTCCTTCTTTTGTAACAAATGCCCCGCTTTTTATTTACAAAAATGAAGTTTTAACAACACCTATCTCACTATCTCACCAGTTACCATCCCTTAGATTTGAGTTTGGAATCAAATTTCTGAATATCCTTGATGCTTGATCTGAACTAGCGCTACTCAAAATGATATTTATTTTCTAAGCTTGATTTACATCTTATCAGCCAGAAGAGGGCAGTGGCGTATGTCATTTGCATTCATACAAATATTACCTCTCTTGAGAAGGATAGCTTGAACAGTTACTGCCATCAGCTTATTTGCTGATTATGCTATCCATCTTGGAGTATTAACTGTGTATTTCCAAACAAATACCTGATCTCTATATTTGTTATTTTGCAAAACATCAATTTTAAATACTCTTACGTTTTTTAGTGATGTTACCAGCTTCCTAGCAGAACACCTTTGGCAAGTTAACCTTGATGGTTTGAGAATGAATTCCCCTTGGTACTAGGTGACAATATTAAGGGTTCCTGCTTCACAAAGAACAGCCTTTCAGCATGTGCCAGGAGACTACAATTTGAAGGCTGTTATGGGTGATGGAGGGCACACACTGACAAGAGAAATTTAAACAGGAAATTAAAATTCTAAGTGCAGTGTTGTTCTACCCCAAAATACAGCAATTATCAAATTGTTGAGTCAGTAAACAGGTATTTTTAATTCATAATCCTTTCAGGAGCGTGAATATTTACTTCCCTTTTCATTGAAATTAATATTTGGTATCATATCTACAAGTAGTACGGAAGCTCTTTTCTTACAGTACTTCACATACTACAAGTATGTTAATTTTTGTGAAGATTTCTGGTTTATTAATTAATTAGAGCTGAATTAATTTCACCTATGTTTATAATGGTTTCCAGCCAGATTTTTTCTGTCAGGCACTAAAGACAGGCTTTTTGAATTTTTTTTCTATGTAAAATCAGTTGGCTTTTTAAGTTGTCCTTTCAGTACTGTCTGGTCCTGCACAATTTCTCAACCATTGCTCTTTCTCAGCAGGATTACTTTGGAAAATTCTTACTGTGGCAATTCTGAAAGGAGTGGAAGCATTTAGTAAAGATGGTGGGAGTCAACCATAATAAATCATCAAATAAATGGTTTCTGCCAGGAAGCAGAAATAGTGTGCTCTCAACATCTGCAGTAGATAAAACAAGAAGTACTGGGCCTAAAAGGCAGCTCAGGAGATTTAGGTTAGATACGAAAAAAATTTTTCTAATGCTAAAGGATACTGAAACACTTTTGTCTAGAGAGGTGATAGGACCTCTTTCATGGAAATCTGTAAGAACTACATAGATACTGTCAGTAATGGCTTAGGTGTAGCCTGGAGTGGGTGAATGGGTTAGGTGATCTTGGGAGCGTCATAAATATGACAGGAAGCTTGCTTGGAAGGGTATTTTATTGGTCTTGAGTGTTTAATATTTTTGTCAAAATAAAAAGGCAGGGTGTTACCTGTCAGGTCATATTCATGGTAGGTCCGAAGATTAGCTGCTCTGTTTTCTTTTTCCTCAGTCCCATGACTGCATGTCTCCATATCCTTTCTTTCTATGTTGTCCAAGTTAAACACATAGGAGATGAAAAGCAACATATCGCTGTAATAAAAAGTGAGAGTCTTTATGATGCAAGTTTGTAATCTGCCTTTCCATAACTAAATGGTTGATGATGAAAGATCTGTGAAAGGAATCAGAAGACTGCTTCTTACTTTTTATTCAGTTCTAACAGGTGGAAATTAAGATAATCTAAGTAGATGTGATTAATAGAAATAGACCAGAGTTGATTGATCACTTCTGTGAGCTGCAAGTGCAAAATAGATGTTATTGCTGTATGCGCTACACAAATAGTCAGTGTAACATCCTAAATCTCATGAAGTGTTTATTTTTGCCATTAGGTGGAAAAGCTATTGAATGATAGAAACAAAGAAGTGTAAATCTAAATGCAGTCGCTGCAGTTTCATTGTGTATTTATTGAACTACGTATGTAGCAGCCTTTTGTTGTTAATATTATGATGTGCTTTTTTGGGGATGGGGTGGTGTTACAGGTGATACAACCCTTAGTTCAGCAACCTAGTTTACCGGTAGTGAAACAATCAGTCAAGGAGCGATTAGGTCCGGTACCTGCAAGTAATATTGAACCTGCAGAAGCACAGAGTGCCAATACAGAAGTCACTCAGGTATGTATGACAGTCAAAAAATGAGTTGCACGTTTTTCTTTCTGTAATAGCTTCCATAATGTATTAATGTGTCTGTTACAGTTACTCATATAGTGCAAGTACACATTACTACTTACAGGTTCATCTAATTTGATTGTGAGTGGTGTTTTGATTTTAAAGTTTTCCTCAGTGCAATGATATTTGGCTTTCTTACCCAAGCACGGTACTTAATTTTTAGTATCATAGTTTTTTAGTTAGTTTAAAAAAACCCCAAGAGACTCTGAAAATATTGCAGTAATGCTGTGTTAAATAGCAGTTTTCAACCTTCAAAATAAAGTGGTTTCTATCCAAAAAACTAAATATTAATTAATATTAAACTTTTAATATTATATCTGTTAAACAGCTAAAACCATTAGAGACCGATGGTCAGCATCTACAAGTGTTTTCAGTATTTGTACATCACTCTTAATGCAAGGAAGAATGTAACCACAGTACCAATACGACTAAGACAATCTGGCATGTTACTCCCATTAGAAATAGCCTTTAAATATTTATTATATTAGAAGTATTTCATTATTAGCATTGTGTCACTACTTTAGTTTTAGGTCTGAAAAGGAAGACCACCACACTTCAGAAAACAGTTTAAATTCAAACAACAACTTTCTGCAACTGATACCTGCAAATAGCAGATTATAAAACACAAAACCTGAAGTGTATTTAAAAGGGCCTGTGTAGATAATCCTCTGCCAGCTAGCATGTCATGGTCTTCTTGCAAAAAATATGTAGTATAATATTTGATTCCAAATTTGGCTTTACTTTTGTCTTATCCAATCTATTTGTAGGTGTATATTAACTGTAAAATCAAATACCTAAAATTCATTTCATCAGCTGCTTTAGTATTATTTTTCTTGTACTGTTGCTCAAAAGTCTATGGCTTTATTAGTTAAATATGTTTTTTCTAAATCTCTAACATCTGGAATTACACAGGAAACAGCAAAATATTCATAAAGTAAAGTGTATTTGAACTATAATTTTGTTTTTTTTCTTAGAATGTGACTAAATTATCTGTGAAGGATAGACTGGGTTTTGTGTCAAAGCCAGTTACTCCAACAACTGAAAAGGTAAGAGAATGTCTCATATTCTCTTCCTCTCAGATTTAATTTCAGTAGAAATAATTTTATTATAAAATCACTTGCATTAATATTAAGTTTGTTTCATACCTATGAATAATGTTATTTGTTAAAGGTTAGTTTTATGAAGTATAATGTATCGAAACTCAGCAGATGGCCAAATGATTATAAGAAGAGTAAAATATGCTAGGACAGAAGCTACTATTCTGTGGGTTTTGTTTTAATATAGTAGGTTCCATTTATTTGATCCTGAGTTGTTAGAAGAATACAGAAATAAATTCAAAAAATAAATAAATTTTGACACTACATAGGAATCTATAGAGAGCCTTTCTTTAAAAATGTTTTGGGGCTTTTTTGTCCCTTAAAAGGTGATGCTGTAAACATTTACCCTCTTACTTGGTCTTACAATTTGCAGTACTTGTGAAAAGATAAAAGTGGAAATTAATCAGTATAGAAAGGACAAAGAGAGGTAAGGTGGGAAAAGTGCACCTGAACTGTGGTTACTAGTTAATGTATTTTGCCCAGTGGTTGCAATTTTCAGAACATGGAGTTGTTGATGTGTTTACTTTAGTAGCAAACTTCATGATGCATGTTTTCAGATCTATTTAGAACCTTAGGGGACAGGCTTTCTCAGTGTTTATAACATTCATTTGAGAAGCCTTTTGGTAGAAAGGCAGCAAGTTTTACCTGGTAACAAGATTCCTCTGCCTAGGTATGTATCTTTTCTGTTGGGAAATGGCTTGACCTGAAATGAAGCATCCACTGCATTTCCCCCTTGTCCCCTTACGATATTGGAGATAATGCATTTACTGGAATCTAAAAAGTAAAATTTGCTCCAAAGATACCATGCTGTACTTAGTATACAAAGGTAACAATGCTTGAGTTGTAATTGTAGAGGATGATGTCTCTTCAACTCATTTCAAGCCGAGCAGTCCACCTGCATGCACTGATCTTGACTTCTTGCCTATATTTTGTTGGTGGTTTGATTAGTTGTGTTCTTGTTGCCCTAAATTAGTTGCAGATAAGTATCTTGCTGTGTATTCCTGAACTACATTTTATGTACATACTATACACTTAGTTCAGAAGTGGGAAGTCTGCTTCAGTTTGAGTGGAAACAGGTTTTTTTCTCATTCCCTAAGAGTTGAGTTATCCTGAAACACTTCTCTACAAAGTAAAATCATGCTAAAATGGTTTTCTGCTGTGTTGTCTTATAGTACAAACTGATTTTGATTAGCTGCTGGGCTGTTCAATGGACTGGTTGTGAAGCAGCAGTTTCCTTTGGCATTTTTAGTAGGGTTCTGAAACTTGGTTTGACCTGTTTTTACCTACTACTGTCCCTTTACAAGGAAATACCTTGCTTGGTTTGCAGTGATAATGCTCTATAACCATTAGAAATTAAATGATTGACAGCTGTCAAAAAACATAGATGTCATGTCCTAGGTATTTTTTTTGCTTCTGACTGAGTGCAGGGTTTGACAAGAACTTTACAGTAAGAAAGTTGGTAGCTATGCTTCCCAAAGAGGAGGAGGAAAAGGAGATGAAACAGTCATCGTGAGGCCTTTTAAGATCTGTATAGGGACTTGCAATTTATGAACTTGTGAAGAGATTGACACTATTCCTTCTCTTAAATAGTATTAAAAGATTTAGAAGACATTAATGCGTGGCTTCTTGTTCTTCTGTATTAGTTGATGCAGGTACATCTGCTGTGGCATCTCTCCTTATATTAAAAGAGATGAGGAAGCATGGTTCACTGCCATCAAGACAGTTCAGGGCAAAAGGAGCATGTCAATATTTTTGTCTTTACTTGGTCCTCTGTTTGTGATGTAGCCTGTCCTAAAGATACTTTGTAATAGGAACTGTATGATTGGGATATGCATACGTTAATGTGCTTTAATAAGTTTTAAAAAAATTCCTTCGTGTCCTTTTTAATGGCCTGCTTAGAGCATTTTATATCACCTTTTATAATACCCCATAACATGCTTTGTGGTTTTGGGGGTTGTTTTTTGTTCTCTCTGCACTGCCTATGCTAGAAAATACTTTACTGTGGGAAGAAATAGTATAAATAGCACAACAAAGTGAAAAGCTTTTATATGAAGCATTCCTATTGTAAATTCTTCTGATCTCTTGGTCTTTTCTGTCTTTCGAATGTTTCTTGGCTGTCTCTTTTTCTTTTCTCCTGTTGGTGGGCATTGTGTCTATGTTATGGAGTGCATGGTGACCAATAGACTCTGCATGCATCTTTTAATTTTCCAAATACATATAAAGTATTTTTAAGCTCCTGGAAATGATACCAATTGCATAATTGCTGTGATTTGCTAACAAGGCAGACAAGATCATGCCTATATTATCTCTAGCACTTAGCCACGGATTTTTTCAATACTAACATGGCCAAAACGTCCTTTAAGGAATGTGATAAAAAATCAGAGCAGTCCAAATCTTCAGGTGTTGTGGAGATGTACATAGTACACTTCAGAAAGATTATAAAGTAGACAACTGTGTTCTCAGTAAGTTGTGGAGAAATTTCATACCTCATTACAAATGTAGGAAAGAGAACAGAGCCATAGGAGTCTCTTCCTTTGCTGTACGATGTTGAAGACTTCCCTGTACTTGAGTTACTTCTTGTTGATTGTACAAGCTTTACTTTGCACAAACTGCATATGAAAAGGAACTATTGTATCTACTTTGGACCTCGGTCTCTAAAATTATGTTGAATTTTTGCTTGGAAAATTCACACAGCCATGAAAAATTGTATTTTAAACTTCAAAACAAAAAAAGAAAAACTTCAGTTATTCTTGGGAAAATCTCAGTCTTCTGTTTCCTTAATGATGCTCAAATGCATAAAATTTTATATATTTGAAACTCAGAAGTACATATGAAATCTCAATGGGAAGGATTTATCATCTGATGTTTATAATTCTTCTGTATCTGATGTGGTGCTGCCTCATTAAAAATTGTTTAACTTCAGCAACTCCAAATATTATTGTTACACCAAATTTTTATATTTCATATCATCAAAACAGACAAAAGACGCTTATATATTTTTAAGCACTCATGGTTTTTTTTTTTAAAAAAATTGAAATTCACTGGCAAAAAAAATAAAATGATTTCCTCCTATAGGTTTTATCCACTTCTACTGGCTTGACAAAAACTGTGTACAACCCTGCTGCTTTGAAGGCAGCACAGAAATCTTTGCCTGTTGTTTCCACTTCCGTGCTAGACTCTAATGAAGCACAGAAGAAAAAACAGGTAAATTAAATATGCTTCTTTATAAAATGGACCTAGACTGGGAACTTGTGACCACTAGAGGTAGTGCACTATATATATTCATCTCAAGAGCGTAGATGAAACTAGTTACAGGATTAAATTTGCTGTGATGATTTCTTTTCAAAGGAGAAGAAAATTCAGCATTGTTTTGTTACTTTTTCAGTGTATGTTCAGGCAGTGTAAGCAGGTTTAAAACTCTCTAGAAGTTCAAAATGGCAAATACTTTTTCCTGGAAGCAGTATGTGCATGTTGAGGCATGAATTGTCTATTGTGAGTGAGAAGGCAGTATAGGACAGTCACTATTGTTCTCTCTTAAGGCTTTCTGAACTGGCCTTTATCATCATCAGACTGGCCTTCATTCTCAGTGTATTTTGTACTTGTGACCAAAACTGTTTCTTCACTTGACAGAAATGAGAAGTGTATGACCCTGCATTTTATTGTTTCCAAACTGTAGTTCTCCCGCATCCATTTTTTTTTGTTTTTACGTTGGAGAGGAAATGCAACAATGCAACAAAAATGCATTTGGCCTTGAATAGGTCACTCAGTTGTAGTTTAGCTTGCGTAGAATTTTCAAAAGAGCCCAGTAAAGCTCCTTTTTCAGGTTTATTCTTACCATTTAGAAAAACTAAATATAAGACAATGTTTATCTTATTGGTTTCAAACCAGAAATTAAGAGTTCAATACTAAGTTAGATTCAAACATAAGTATTGAAAGCAGTATAACTGTTAAACAAAGATTTTAGCCTATTGGTAAACTTCTGTAGGTAATGTCTAATATAATTTGAAATAGCAGTTTGTAGCTGCATGCCAGTTGTGGCATTGGTCCAGACTTTAAAGAAATCACTTCTAATTTGGGAATTTAATTTCATATTTGTCCCCTAAAACATATTTTTCAGAATTAGAGCCTTTACCTTTCAAGTTAAGATGCTAAGTGCCTGTGAAATGGCAAAAAGCTCGTAGTAAAATTATTGACTCATCATGACATCTGTAGGGGGGTTTTTTTGACAGAAGACACTGAAGATGTGCTAAGTGATTGGCTCTTTTTTCATGTGCTCTTGTGCTCCTTCCTCTATTCAGAGATTTCTATTACTATATACTAGTACTTGTGGGAAAACGTGATTTTGTGGGACTCCCTCCCTTCTTTCCTCCTGTCTCCCTAGTTTTTCTTAGCATTCATCCCCTTGTCTTATCTTCCTTTTCAGTTCAGAAAAATTATTGCACACTGTATTGCAAAACTAACATTTCATGCAGCAGAATTTGTCAGTATTTGGGAAGACATACAGAAACCTTATTACTATTTCTTTTTTATGACTGTTATGCATTTATACTCTTTGTATAAGATAATGAATCCTGGTTGATGGGTGATCTAGAGGTGCAAAATCATCATCTGCTTGTCCTCTTTTATCCCATTAAATATGTTGATATCAAAGGTCTTAATTGTTTTCTGCAAGTATCCTCCTAAGACTTCTACAGTCTGTATCTGAGAGCAAGAAGCAATTGCTTTCTCTCAAGTGACATTAGTAGGAGCTGAGCACAGCAGCTGTAGCATCTCCTCCTGCTTCTCCTTCTGAGTGCAATATGTCACAAATTCATCAGTTTCAATTTATTTTGATTGGCCCATTGCAATGTCAAGATTCTGGTTTTAGCAGATGGAGTGCTAGTACTTGTCACTTCCAAGTTATAGCAGTCAGATGCAAAAGTGATGGTTTTCTTTGGGTAACACTTCAGTTTTAGAAAATAGAATGTATTTCTTTTTGCTTGTAACTGTACTGCAGAATGTTTTAATTGATGGACTTGATTTACAGTTTTCAAGATACTGTCCTTGCACATTTGAACTCTTGTATGTTGTATGTCTTGCGGTAGTGTATTATATTGCCTTTCAGCTTTCAGTGGAGTTGTGTAAGTGGTTACTTTGTACATAAGTAATAATGAAGTCTTCCCAGCACAGATCTAAGAAAGATCATTAGATCCTTCACTAATTCGGTGATGTGTTATTTTCCAAAACATAATTTGAAAAATATTGCCTATTAGTCCCTTGTGTTTCTATTATTAATTTTTTCCCTGTTACTGTAAGTTACTACTGTATAGTTGTCAGGTATAGTGTAGTATTCTTCTAGCATTATTTTTTCAAAATCTAAAAACTTTAATTTTTTTATGCTTCTAGGAAGCATTACGACTTCAACAAGACGTGAGAAAAAAGAAGCAAGAAATCTTAGAGAAGCACATTGAAACACAAAAGGTAAGATGTTAGCATTAAAGAAAGTCAGCAATACAGTTGTAAAATCCCAGTTCACTACTTTAAAATATTTCAGATTTTGTAAGCGTGAGCTACAAAACTGGCCTGTAAAATAAACATTCTTGTAGAAAGGTATTACGACATTATTTTAAGTTTAGAATTTTAATCTAACTTGTCTTGTTAGTTCACTTAAACTACAAGCTTATGCGATTTAGGTGCAATTTTAGTTTAAATTGCTTAATTTGGGTGTGACATACTTATGTTTTTGGGGGCAAATGAAAGCCTGAGAGTTGTACTTCACAAGAGCAGGAAAGATTGATGTAGAAAAGTATGCATGACTGCATTTAAGCTTAGGAGAAGAGAAAGGCCACAATGTCATTTAAGTTGGATAAAAATTTTGAAATAATTTAAGTATGTTGAGCAAATCTGTCCAAATGAAGTGGAGATATCAGATGTTTGTTAGCAAATTAATTAATCGGAGATTCAGACAAAGATTTTAATTTAACGTAAGCTGTTAAAAGCACTATATATTGAGTTTGAAGATCACACCAAAAGAAATGCAATATTCTGGTTTTCCATTGGTTGTAATGAGTACTGGAAAAGAAATCTGTAATAGTAGTTGCTAAATAAAAAGATATTTTTTTTATTTTATTAATTTTTTAAATTGGACAGATGCTTATTTCAAAGCTGGAGAAGAATAAAGCCATGAAGTCAGAAGACAAAGCAGAAATCATGAAAACACTGGAAATTTTGACTAATAGCATTACCAAGTTAAAGGATGAATTAAAAGGTGTATCACCAGGAGGAGGGACTCCTTTAAAAAGCATGAAAACTAAGACTCAGGTACTCAAGTTTTGGTCAGCTTTTTAATAAGATGAATTCACATGCTTATGTTAGCAGAATAAAAATATGCAGCCACATCAGCAGTATTTAGAACTATACTGGTTTAATTTTGAAGTCATCTTTTTAAAGGAACATAATTAATTTTAAAGCCATGCTGTTGGCTAAAAGGTTTACCCACTGTTACACAGATATTGCATCATCTGGAAAATCAACACACGCACCCCCCTCCCTCCCCCAAATCTTATGATTATTTCTTTTGTTTTATCTGATCTTTTGTGTATAGTCTATTGCTTTCTTAATTTGAATAGAAATCATGAAAATAGTATTTCTGATGCAAAGGGATTATCATTATGCAACGCATATCTTCTGGTCAGGTTTAATACACAAAATGCTTCATGAAATTAGTTGACTGCTGTACTGGTACATAAATTTCTGAAGCTTTTTATGTCACTGAAATTTTTCAATATATTAAGCTTTTTAGATTGAAGATTATACTGGTCAGTTTTCCTTTGATCTAGCTACCTATGTTTGGGTTGCACCTGTGGCAGGATTTTCTGTCCTTTGCTATCATTCTTGTTAGTATATGGCTATAACCAATTTCCCAGCTGCTTAAAGATGCAATTATATTACCTTTTTAAAATGCAGTATTTTGCTTTTTATAGAAGTATTTGTTCCTAAACAGGTCACAAGGTGATTAAGAATTAAGTGAGACTTTGAGAAATAACATTTTAAGAAATTAGTAAGTTTTTTTTAAAAATATATTACAAGTTTTTCTTCCTTTATCAAGTGAGGAAGTGCATACTAATAAAAGAGCAGGTTTTTTTGTACAGTGTATTTTCGAGTAAAGACAAAAAGTCTTGATCTTTTCTTGCTAATTTCATTCAGTTCTTAAATCTTCAGAATGTTTAGTCTTTTAATGTTTGAGATTCTGTTTTAAAAAGCTGGTATAATGTTACAACCCAGATTTAATTTAAATGGTTCATTAGTTTTCAGTTTGAAGCAGCATTTCTACTGCTTTATTTTACCTAGAAATATAGGTATTAAAAGTAACTGCAGTGTAAATTACAGTGATATACAGTTTTGAAAAGAAATATCAGAAAGGAATACTGAAATGACCTGTATGTACTCACTATAGCTTCTTGCATCGTTTTCAGGAAAAAGTTGAAGGAGCGTATTTTTATCCTAAAAAGGGGCATAGATTATAATTTTTGGAAGTCAGTTTATACCTCTTAAAACAAGTTCCATTGCAGTGGAATATTCTACTGTGTTTTAGAGGGGGAACTAAGGGTAGTAATACCAGAATTCAGGCACCACTATAACAAGATTAAACTCTTCTTTTTTGGAGATGAGAGAAGAGAAGGGTTTTTTTTTTTAATGTGTTTATGTTTTTGAGAGAAAGTGGATGTCTGGTGAGAAAATGTTTCTGAGAGGTCTGAAGGAAGTAAGCTACCTGTGGAGTGAATTTGAACTGTAGAAGACCTAGAAATTGGCAATATTTTTAAAGCTGCATTTGATTGTGAAAGCCTTATGTTTTTGAGAAATAGTCTTCTGCTGGTGGTGTACAGTGCTTCATAAATTTGAACAGGAAGAAAACAGTTTATATCACTTTTGATCCAAGAATAACAGTTGGTTGTGGATTTTGTCATATGCAAGGAAATGAATCCAGACCCATAGAAATAAGAAGCAAGTTGCATCATGAAAACTTGGCAAATTCTTGTCTAGAAAACTTAAATGCAGTGTTTTAACCCATGACGGTTATTTTACCCTGAGAGTGGTCTAGTAAATTCTTGGAGTGGACAAGAAAATAGTCTGATAACACAAAATTGCTCAAAATAATTGAGATTAGAAGGGATCTCTGGGGATTGTCCTGTTCCATCACCATGCACCACTAAGAAGAGTCTGGATGTCTTCTTTGCTCATCCCTACTAAGTAGTTATACACATGGATAAGATCCTCCCCACCAGCTTCTCTTCCTGAAGTTAAACAATCCCAGCTTTGTCAGCCTCTGCTCATATAGTAGATGCTCCAATCCCTTAATCATCTTTGTGGCCTTTTGCTGGAGTCACTCCAGTATGTCTCTCTTGTGCTGGGGAGCCTGGAGCTGGACACAGCACTCCATGTGTGGCCACACCACTGCAGAGTAGAGAAGGATCACCTGCCTTGACCTTCTGGTGGTGCTCTTCCTAATGCAGCGCAGGAGGCCGTCAGTCATCTTTGCCTCAGGGATGCACTGCTGGCTCGTGTTCAACTTCTTTTCTGCTACCAGGACCCCTCAGGTCCTCTTCATCTGGGCAGCCCCCAACCTGGGCTGGTGGCTGGGGTTACTCCTGCTAAGGTGCAGGACTTGGCAGTTCCCTTTGTTGAAATGCAGGAGGTTCCTCCTGCCCCATTTCTCCAGCATGTCAAGATCTTTCTGAATGGAAACACAACCAGCTGGTGTACCAGCCGCTCCTCCAAATTTTGTATTGTCCACAAACTTGCTGAGGGCACACTCTGTCTTACCATCCAGGTCACTAATGAAGACGTTACTGCTGGGGTACACCATTAGTGACTGGTCTCCAGATGGACTTTCTGCCACTGATCAGAACCCTTTGGACCCAGCAGTTCAGCCAGTTTTCAGTTCATCTCGCTGTCCACCTATCTAGTCAGCACTTGATCCTTTGGCTGTGAGGATGTTGTGGGCGGCAGTATTGAAAGCCTTACTGGAGTCAGGATAAACTACTTCCACTACTCTGCTCTTGTCCACCAAGTCAGTCATCTCACTGTAGACAGCTGTTAAGGTCAAGCATGATTTCTCCTTCTTTTTCCTCAATCGCCGCCTTGTTCTTAACATTCTTGGAAATGGTTTTGAAGGTTATTTGCTCCTTCATCTTCCTAGGGATTGTGGTGAGGCTGACCAGTGTGTAGTTCCCCAGATCTCCTTGCCCTTTTTGAAGATCAGTGATGCTTGTTTTTTCTCAGTCCCGAGGAACCTCCCCCAAAGGCCATGACCTTTCAAAGATAATTGAAATTGACTTTGCAATGACATCAATGAGCTCGCTCGGTACTTAATGCTTGCATCCTATTGGGCCCTAGGTTTCTGTGTATGTCCAGTTTGTTTAAATGTTTCCAAACTTGATTCTCCTCCAACAAAGGTAAGTCTTCTTGCTTTGGCTTTTACACTAGTGTCAGGGTCTGGAATTGCTGAAGGCAAGTCTTTCCTCTAAAGACTGAGGAGGAGGAGGAGGACTGAGGAGCACCTCAGCTGTTCCATGTCGTTTGTTTCCAGGTCCCCTTTCACATTCAGCAGTCAGCCCACATTTTTCACAGCATAGTGTTCCTCTTGCTGCTGATAGACGTTGTCGTGGTTTAACCCCAGCCAGCAACTAAGCACCACGCAGCTGCTCACTCACTTCCCCCCAGCCCAGTGGGATGGGGGAGGGAATTGGGGAAAAAAAATAAAACTCGTCAGTTGAGATACGAACAGTTTAATAGAACAGAAAAGAAGAAACTATTAATGATAACACTGGTAAAATTACAATAGTAATAATAAAAGGATTGGAATATACAAGCAATGCACAATGCAATTGCTCACCACCCACCGACCAACACCCGGTTAGTCCCCGGGTGGCGTTCCCCCATCCCCACTCCCCCCAATTTATATACTGGACATGATGTCACATAGTATGGAATACCCCTCTGGCCAGTTGGGGTCAGCTGTCCTGGCTGTGTCCCCTCCAGCCTTCTCGCTGGCTGGGCATGAGAAGCTGAAAAATCCTTGACTTTAGACTAAACACTACTTAGCAACAACTGAAAACATCAGTGTGTTATCAACATTCTCCTCATACCAAATTAAAAAACATAGCACTGTACCAGCTCCTAGGAAGACAATTAACTCTATCCCAGCTGAAACCAGGACAGATATGCATAAGCCTTTCTTCTTGTTTCTCACCCCTCTTGCCAGATTCAACTCTAGGTGGGCTTTGGTTTTCCAAACCAGTGCCTGCATGCTCAGACAGTCTCTCTATGTTCCTTCTGTGATCTAACCCTGCTTCCACCTCCTGTACACCTTGTTTTTGGATTTAAGTTTTGTTAGGGTCTCCTTGTTCATCCAGGCAGGCATCCTGCCACCTGTCCTTTATTTCCTGCATGCCCTGGAACTTGGGAGGATGTGATTCTTGAAAATCATCCTGCCTTTACAGCAGATACCCAGGCCCAGAGTCTTTAAACAGGAGGCTTCTTCCAATTGTCTGAAGAAGGTCTCATCTACTTCTTTTACCTGATCAGGCAGTGTGTAGTACGCACCCGCTGCAAAGTTGCACACATAGGTCTGCTGTCTTAATCCTGACTCATAAACTTTTTGACTGGCTCATCGTCTGTCCCCAAGCAGAGCTCTGTGCATTCATACTGCTCTCTCACATAACGGGCAACTCCTGCTCCTTGCCATCCTGGCTTGTCCTTCCTTAAGAGACTGTATCCGTCCACTGCACCGCTCCAGTCGTGTGAGTCTTCCTGCAATGTTTCTGTAGTCCCAGTGAGATTGTAGTGCTGTAAGTGCACACAGACATCTAATTCCTCCTCTTTGTTTCACATGGTGTGTGTATTAGTGTACAGGCTCTTCAGAGAGGCACTGATTGCCCAGAAAATAAATGAGATCTTCCCTTGTGATACTGTTCTGTAGGCCCTCCCTCATTTATGTGGATTGGTATGTGTATGCTTGAAGTGGTCCCCCTTCAACCCTGTTTTGTTGATCTTGAGACCCTATCTGCCCACATCACCCTTTGCTTGGCAACCTGGTCCACCACTTCCTCGTGTGACTGTTGGTTTTGCTTAGTAAAGTGAGGCAATATGGTAATTTGAACTACAATTTTAATGAAGTTCTTGTGCTGGTTTTCCATTTCCTTTGTAATATGAAGGTGAAGAAACATTTTGAGCAAACCCATTTCATAATGGGCAAAATATCCCAACTGTAGAAAAGTTGATTTTATTGATAGCTTTCCTCTCTGGGAGATTGTGAATTATCTCTGAGCATTGTTTTGTTAACATTTGAAAGAGAGAAAACAGTCAGTCCCATCTGACCTTTGTGAAAGTGAGGAACTAACAGAGCCTTCAGTTAAAATTTACAACTTTGACAATTTTCTGAAAGACTTTGCTCTAGGTTCTCTTGCATTTTCTTAGTGTTTAAAACCTGGGCAGCTCTGAAGACCGTGCAAACGAAGATGGGGCCCGTGTGACTGTGCCATTATCTTTACCTATTTTTGTCTTGTTCCAGTTCATGCAGATTACAAAATACTCTTCCCCCCCGAGTGTAGAAACCTTTGCTGCCTCTTGGTGTATCTTGAAGGAGGTATTTTCTTCCTGAGACCTGGCACAGCTTTATAAGAGAAGTCTTCATTAAGAGCACTAGAAATAAACCTCAAATTCTTTACGACACCAGTGTCACTGGCTGCTTTGTGAGTTCTAACTGCTGGTCATTATTAAACTTCAGAAGTGTTTGTTTTGCCATGTCATTGATGTGTTGCAACGCAGTGGGATTTGAGAGAAACACTGTTTCCAATTTTGAAAACTTTGAAAACCATTATACAGGAGATAATGGATTTTTTTCTGTGATTGCTGTAGATGATCAGAAAATGGGGCTGAAAGGGGTTCAGGTTGAAGTTGCCAGTTGAATAATCCAGCTTTTTTTCTTTTAAAGCTTCCAGGAAAAAACAAAGAAACAAAAAAAACCCTTTATCATTCAGTGGTAATACTTGGTTTCCAACTGTCACAACTGCGAAACCTTCATCTCTTGACAACCAGCCTTTGAATGCATTACATGCTGTGGTTTTGAATCAATGGGTGTAAATGTGAAACTGTTTCACAATCATTTATAATTTTATCCTTCATTTGTGATATCACCAGAACATTTGGCTGCTGCTTTTTCCATTTTAAAAAAAAAAAAAAAAAAAAAGAAAGCTTTCAGTTTGGAACAGAACTTCAAATAAAATTTTCATGGGCTGCATAAAGCCCTTTCCTGCACCTGTACCAGCACCTGCACCTCAATGGTTGCAATGAACAGGTCTAAATTTGGGTTCAGAGACACCTTTCAGTTTCATATATATTTTTGAACTTTCTCATATCTTTTTTTAAGGTATTGTGTGCTGGAAGGCAACTGGGTGCATCAGAGACCAACCTTTTGTTAGCAGAGGTCTTGTTACTGTGTTTTTTCTACTGTGGTCTGAACAGAACTACCATTTGTGCTTTTTGCATTATGGAATTGTGATAAACTTAGATGCTTTTTCTCAATACTGATAATGGATTTTGTATTCATTCATAATTGTACTTCTTTTTTTGTGTAGAATCCCTTTTTATCTCATCATCACTACTATATAATTCTTATTTTGTGTATCTCTAGTTTAGAAAAAATTCTCTTGGCTTTGGCTTTGTGTGGTAGTCTTAAAAGTTTTGACATCAGCAAGCTCAGAAACATACTGCTACACATTGAAGTTTTATCTTGCCAAGAAGGCTACCTAAGCTTGTGCTTAGTTTGTTTTTGAAGATGGAAACCTAAGGTAGTAAGCAGTATACCTGCAAAGTTAGAGCTGTGATTTGAATTAATAAGCCACAACTTGGTTAAGTTTCAAATTCCAGTACAGCTTCTAGTTTTCAAATTCCCTTTCCTTAATGTTTCTAGGAATCTGTTTTCCAGATAGGTAAGTCTGCCACAGCACCTTTTGCCTGGAGGCCAACGCTGGCCAATCTTTAATTCGCTGTGTATTTCTAAAATAGCCTTCTGATAGGAACGTAGCAATGGATTCTTGGGTTTTATCAGAAAATTGTTTCCTCAGTAGAGAATGTGAACTGTGGAACTAATAATTTACCGTAACAATTTCTTAGATGCAGAAAGAGTTACTAGATACTGAACTGGATTTATACAAGAAGATGCAAGCTGGGGAGGAAGTTACTGAATTAAGACGAAAATATACAGAGCTACAGCTGGAAGTATGTTTGTCTCTTCTTTTGTAGCAATTAACTTTTAATCAAATATTTTCATATATGTTTATTAGCTTGGATATTGTATCATAAATATATTTTTCCAGAGTGCAATGTTAAGTTGCATGTAAATGGAGGCATTTAGCAATAATATTTTAAAAAATCAGTTTCTGAATTCCACTGAGGTAGAGAAATAGTATTGTCTTTAATTTTGATTGCTAATTTGTTTAATTTCTGTAACTGTTTGGATGATGTGGTTTCTTACAGATTTGTGGTAGTAATGCTTCCTTTAGAACGTGGAGTGGTTTTGTTGCCTGTAGGTGGTGGTGTGTTTCATACTGAAGAGTTAAAAAACACTGCTTGATCTTTTATTCTTAAATGTTAGCATCCTCTTAATGAGATTAACCAAAAGGCTGAGGTGCCAGAAGTAATATTATTACAGCATTGGTTTCAAGAGGAGGACTTATCAAAAACAAATACAGTGTTTCAAGAAGCGTTCAATGTATAGAAACACGCTTTCTCTTAAAGTACTTGCTTTTTAAAAAATTGAGAAGGCTGTGCAAGATTCTTCATATCTGTGTCTTATTTTGAGAAATTCTGAATGCTGTGGGTGTTATTCTGTTACATTGCACTGTCTTGCCTATATGATTGTGTAATATGTACTTAATTGCATGATAATCTTATCTCTTTTTACTGTTAAGCAGGCTGCTGTGTCGCTTAAATCCCTCTTGTCTTAATGAAGTTTGGTCATGTCTTATGTATAACTACATATGAACACAGTGCACATACGTATGGCTAAGTTGCATTAAAATCTTACTTTAAAACTAAGTTGTTACGCAGCTTTGGTAATTGTGAAAATAGGTTTGTTAATAAGCCAAGCCAATTTAAGAGATGACATAAAAGCTTATGTTAACAATATATATTCTGATGGTGAATAATAATTCATTAGTGTACTAAAAACTTATTTATAAATCGTACATTTTAGAAAATATGTGAACTGAATGATATTTAAAATAGGAGTAGAAAAGCATGTGCTCATTCAAGATAAAGTTACACTGCAGTTGAGTGTGCTAATCCTATTCCATCTCTCACTGAGTTTGTATTTTGAGTTGGAAAAGACAATTGTAGCTCTTTCAGGAAAATAATTTTTGCTAGTAAAATGAATATTCTGAAGCTTTTAGAAAATACCAATCAAAGTAGATGGAGAAAAACAGGGTTATTAGTAAAGCACACCAGTATGATTCAAGGAACAGCATGAAATGTATCCCTTGTATAATTTACAAGAGGGATATATGGGGGGGGTTGCCTTGATGTTTGTTTGATTCTTCAATATTCTTACAAATTCTTTAGAAAAACTTTTATTCGCACATTGTCTTTGTGACTTTAACTCCCACAATATTCATGTGTTGCTTCTGTGGCTCATAATCTGCTGTTCTGTTCCAGGTGGCCCTGATTTTACTGTGAGAAAACCCAAACAGTATACAGCTTGATTGTTGAGTCAGCATTATCTTTAACTTTCTGGATTATAATCCTTTAACCATTTAAAAATGTTTTAAAAAAAAAAACAACCACCCCAAAACCTGCAGGATTCTATTTACAAAAAAATAAAAAGTGAACTATATACTATTGTAAAATTACGTTAATAATTTAATGAATAAAGCCTTAACAGATTGATCTCCTTGTGGGTGATATCACTGGCATGCATTAAAGTAGTGCTATCAGTGCTTGAGTTGTAAACACTGTAGGATATGTTAAAAACATTGTTATAATGATTTCATTTAACATTTGATTCCTACATCAGATCCATTTGGGTTTGAAAAGATTTTTTTTTTCTTGTTAGGAATGTTAAAATTAAATCCTTGAAAGTGCTTTTTTGAAACTTAAAATAACTTTTTGCAAATTATTTTTTAAATGGCTGTCGGAGATACTGTCATCGGCCTTTTGACTTTTCTTGGAGAGTGCATGCCAGTTCTTTAGAAGGGATACACAGGTATTGTGGGAACGGAAATTAGTGAGTATGTAGGGCCAAATTTTTAGGGATTACTTTGTCCTTGGAGGTGCTCATTAGAGCCTCTGTTTCGTACCTCACAATTCTGTGGCCAAAAGCTATTATGCTGCATTAATTCTGGTCAGAATAAAAGTCCTGGCTGGACCTTCAGAGACAAATTAAGAGACAAAGATAAAGAGACAAATTAAGTAGGTAGTTACCACATCAAGAAAATTTGTTAATGAAATTTCAAATGTTGTACTGCAGTTCCTTTCTCCTGTGAGGAATTATCCTCACAGATAAGGGCTCTTTTGATATCTGTTTTTAATACCTCTTTTTTTTTCCTATTTCCATCCTATTTTTGATCTGTTAATAATTAACAGTATTAGCTTTTTAACGTTATTAACGTGTTCACCTTTTGTTATTTTAAGACCCGTAAGCTGCTCTTTCTGAGGTTTGTTTGGGGATGTGTTTTTAGGAAACGTCAGAATATGTGTTTGTTAATTTTGTCTAAATACTTAGATTATGAATTTTAATACATGAATATGTTATGTATAAACATCTTAGGCTGCCAAACGAGGGATTCTTTCTTCAGTTCGTGGTAGAGGGGTTCATGCAAGAGGTCGGGGTGCATCACGTAGCAGAGGTAGAGGAATACGAGGCCGGGGTAGAGGCAGAGGAGTTCCTGTGCATGCAGTTGTGGATCATCGACCTAGGGCATTAGAAATCTCTGCATTTACAGAAAGTGATAGAGAAGATCTTCTTCCTCATTTTGCGGTATGTGGCAATTTCACTTTTTCTGTTCTTTGGGTGACGTATTGAATTACTTGTTTTCTCTTGATTCAATTCATCTGGAAATATTATTTAGGAGTGAATCTTTAACATGATATACCTGTTCATGGAAAAAGAAGATGCATCAGAAAAAGGTGAAACAAAGAGAAGTTACACTATTGATTCAACTAATTATAACTGTGACTGCATACCATTTATAAGGGTTGGTTTTTTTCTTAAAAAGAAAGGAAATTGAGAATATCAAGTAAGGACTTAGAATATTTATTTGTTCAGGGTATATGTAAACTTGTTATGAATTTTTAGGTATAGAAAGATAAAATAATTGAAGGGATCATGAGAACAAAGACTGATTCAGTGCCAAAACTTTCAATACCTGAAGTCTATTTATCTTTATTGAAGTATCTTAACAAGTGCTTAATGAAAATTTTCACAGAAAATTTTCAATGCTTTTGCCTAACTTCCTGAATTTTAAGAATCAAGATGAGAATTGTGCAACTATATGCAGCTCTTGGCAGGGCAGCCAAAGGTTTCTGTCTGTAAGCTTAAGAAGTCAGAGCTCTTTCTACTTTTTTGGGGGGGGTTTAGTCTAAAAAAAAGATAAATTGATGTACATAATTTTTAGCAAATTTTTATTTGCAAATATAATGAAGTAAGAGATCAACATAAATTTATAAAAACCCTTGTCCTCCTTAAAAAAATGTTATAATAAAAGGAAATTTGTTTATTCTATGGAAAGAATGTTAAGAATATCTGGTGGCATAAATTGTGTGAATCTTCATCTGTGACCCCCCCCCCCCCCCCTTCGCTGTTTTTTTGTTTGGTTTTGTTTTTGTTTTTTTTTCAATATTTAATTGCAGTTGTCCTCTCTGAAGGTAGAAGTCCAGGAGCCAGTAAGTCCAGTAAATTCTACTCCAGTCAGTGTACTTAATAGTTCCTGTCTGGCAGCCATGCAAGTAGCTTTTCAAAGGACAAAAGTCAACAAGGACCTGGGTCTCCCTTAAAAAAAAACCAACAAAAAAACAACAAAAAAAAACCCAAACCACAAAACCCCCCCAAACCCCAGAAAACAACAACCAAAAAGCCACAAACCAAAAAACCAAAACCACGACAAAAAAAACACTACTATTATACCGGGGGTTTTAAGGTGTCATGTTTCCAGGAGCGCTCTCTCTATATGTACATGAATGTACGTGTTCCCCTTAAATAAATGCTCCACATCAGACCTATATGGGGGAACAAAAAGGGAACCATCATACCCATAAGGGGAACAAAATTACTTTCTACAGAGATGTATGATGGACTGAACATTTGAGCAACGGCTTTATAAATTTTTGGTGTAAAACTAAGAACATATAACTTTAAAGCGCAGCAATACAATCCACTTGGTCAAGCATAGGCTGTTTCTGAGTCCAGTATTAATGATGCATATAAGAAAAAACTTATTTTTAATCTACAGTATCATATTCTGATTTAGTTGGCCTTATGAATATTGCTAAAGTAAATTTTGCTGGTCATTTCGTATTTTTCATTTCATTATGTACTTCTCTTACTGACTGCGAAGAATATAAAAATGAAGACAGAGACTCTGCCACTGTTAAAAGCTTGCTGTATGATGTTGGTTTATGGTCATAAATTTGCTCAGAACTTAGCGTTTTCTTACACTTTGGTTTTATTGTAGGGAGTATTATACTTACTATCTTTAACAAACAAAAATATTAACAAAAAAACCTTAGTAGTGTCAACAAATACAAGTCTATTCACAGTGTTAGTAGTACAACACTGAGAAAAAATGTTAATTACTTCATTTTACAGGTTGTGCATTTGTTGTTTTAAACTTGCTCCAAATTCTATGGAAATGCACTGAGCTGTATTTCTGTTTCTGTGATATGGTATCACAACTCTCTGTACATCAGCAGTGCACTCCACCTATGCATCACCTACAGTGATGGTGGCATTAAAGGTAGCAATACCATAGAGTCCATTACAGGAATAGATGGGTTAGGTTCTTCAGATGCTGAAATCAAGTTAAGTTTTGAAACTTCTTCTATAGTCCCTGCGTCTAATAAATCTTTGTGGAAGAGTTTCATGGTAGACTAATGGAATCATCCCAAGATTCCTTCTTTCTGATCAGGAGAGAAGTATTGAAGCAGAACAAGCTCTTTTTCTGTCATAATTTTACTTCATACCTGTATGTTTACAGTCAGGAAATCCAGAGACTACAGTACTTGTGTTTTAGAAATGCAAGTAAAAGTAACTGTATTCCTTACAAAGACAAATAGTCTGATTGTCATTAAAGCTGTGAAAGGTACACTGTTCTAATTTTATATGGTTTTTGAGGGCATTTCATTTAGGACAACATTTTTTAGAGGTGGAGATCTATTTCACTAAGCTTTTTTTTTATTTATTAAAAGCAATATGGTGAAATTGAAGATTGCCAGATAGATGACTCTTCTCTCCATGCAGTGATTACCTTTAAAACAAGAGCAGAAGCTGAAGCTGTGAGTATAACCTTTGTTGAAAATACTCTGCAACATTCAACTACTTTCTAGTTACTTTTTACTTCTATATTTTATTAAATGTAATGCTGCTAATTATTTTAAAACATTTTAAAAGAAGTCTGACACAAAAGTTTAATTCTGTATTAAACAAATCTATCAGAACAGTGTATTACTGACATACTTAGGAAGTGAGGATGTCTATAGCACACTCAAGTACAGGATGCAAGAGAGAAATTAGGAGAAACACTTGGGAATTGATAGCTGGATGTCTTGGTTTATCTTTATTTAATTGACTTTTTTTTTTTCTCACCTGAAGACTTGGTACCTTCACAGTCTTCCTGAAATTTCACTGACATCCTGCAGAGTAAGCCTATATATTTTGTTTGGGATCAGTTTGATTTACCTTTGCCTGAAGACCTGTAATAGTGTAAATGTGATTTGATGTGATGGGATTCTCTGCCCCTGCCCCCCCTGCTTTCCCCCCCCATATTTTTTAGAAATTTAGGAAATTACAGAAGTATAGAATTATTGCAGTAACTTTTAGAGACTAAAATCCAGAGTTGACGTATGTTGTAATTTGGCGTGTTTACGTATGGATCATTAGGACTTTATACGTTTGGCTCAGCGGGCCTCTGTGGTGTAGGCAGTATGTGAACCTGCGCAAAATAATGAACATAGTTGTTCAGCAAATGGTTTTGTTTTCTTTAAAATCCTTGCGTCACCATTGGGAAGGAGTATCCTGATGTTGTGGTTTAACCCCAGCTGGCAACTTAGCACCACGTGGCCGCTTGCTCACTCCTCCCACAGCGGGATGGGGGAGAGAATTGAAGAGTAAAAGTGAGAAAACTC